AAGAAATCTCTTTACAGTACATTTTAATATTATCAAAATCGCCTGTTGGAACGAAGAAATCTTCCTTCATTGCGATAAAGATTGATTTGAGCGATGTTCCTCTTATCATCTTTTAAAGGTCTTATCAGATTGTATTACTAGATTGAAGTCATTGCGTATTCCAATTTCATTCAACTAGACGATCTCACTCCCCCCTTAGGTTTAACCATTAGAGTAGCTGACTAATGCGTGCCTAATGCAGATCTGATCATAAGAACACTGCGAGCCAGTAACTGATTGGAATGTAAATGGTAGTTTTTAAAACCTTGATTAAGTGAAATTTGTATAACAACAGCGAAAAAACCCTGTTGCTTATAATTTTTATTGTGTACTGGCGGTGAAGAAATCCTGCCACACATCATTGTGCAGTTAAGTTGCACAAACTGTAAGAATCTGTTGGGATCTAAGTCACATTGTTCTTGTGATAGCTGCAATAAATTGTCCGTTAGAATGAGAGTAATCTCAAGCAAGAGATACGATAGATTTATTTAGCATATCAAAGCATACAGTCACAAAGATCTCACCAAGATCATCGGGTCACTAGCCCACAACCTCCTCGCTCAGGCAAAACTGGGTGAAGCAAGCATCACCCGCATGGAACAGGAAGCAGCAGCGCTGAAGCTCCAGGCAGAGGAGTCTCAGAGAAACCTGGTGCTTGCTCAAAGTCAACTGGACCAGCTAACATCGGAGACTCAGCACCAGCACAGGACGGCGGATGAAAAGGACCCAGAGCTGCAGGAGGAAGTAGAGAGACTCCAGAAAGCCTTAACTGATCTCCGTGTAGACACAGCACGCCGAGAGCAGTGGGAAAACCACCTGCAAAGTTCTCGGGCTGAAATCAGTGCCCTGGCCCAACAAAGAGACTATTTAAAAAAAGAACTTGACACTGTTCACCAAGAGCTTAAACATGCAAATAGACTGCAAAGCGACTCTGAAAGGAAAATGCACACCACAGAATTTCCCCTAACCAGCAGGCTGATACCTCCTAGTCAAGAATTCCCAATTCAAAAGGGGGGTGAGAGCCCACTGCTCAGAACATGACCTGCCTGCATCCCAGAACCCCCAGCAGCAGCAAGGGGGTGGGAGCCTTTTCAAAGGCTGTCTTCCAGTCACGGCGTGTCACCTAAAGAATTGGATAAGCTGGCTAGAAACATTCCCACTTTCACTCCAAACCCTGCAGGAGGCCACGATGTGCACGCCTACTTAAAAGACATTGACTTTCACTTGCAAACTGTTGCCAATGTTACCACACGAGACAGACTCTATCTGCTCCGAATCACCGCCAGCCGTGAGGTGAGGAGCTTTCTAGACCGGCAGCCAGAAACGGTCGAAGTGGATTACCAGCAACTGAATGATGCCACAAGAACAGACCCCATACTCGCACTGTGGGCAGACAATTCAGCCATCAGCCTCTCACTGTTCAATGCTCTCAAACAGCACACAACGAACATTCCTTTTGCTAACAAGCGCACACGATTCCCTTTGAATCCCTGCCCATCAGCTATGGTGACTGCCAAGGGCACCTGTGCCCTGAACTTGAGGTGGAATGACAGGTGTCTAACCCATTAATTCCTGGTCCTTCCAGATGCACCGCATGATGTCTACATCGGAGCGGACATTCTGATTCGCCTCAGGGCTCACGTGGACATGATCAATGAAGTGATATGGGCTCCAATGACCTCACAGTCACCCACAGTTCCTGTCAACCTTGAGAACCAAACCATCCCTGTGGCCTGCACACTAATCAATGAACAAGAGGACTGTAGTACCAGCTTACACCAAAGGGGTCTCTGTTCGACGCAACCTGCGAGCAGCCAATCTCTCAGCCACACCCTAGGCTTCTTCCAACCTTCACCCGAATGTGGGGAACTGGGCCTCACTTTGGAAGCCACACCCCTCGTTGAAGTGACATCTCGGGCAGTGTACATCCTGTTTAACAACTGCATGGCAACGGATGTCAGAGTGCCCAAGGCCTACCGTCTGGGACGGCTAGTGAGTTATGACTTCCCTGACTTTGAACTGATTTTACCAATAATTGGACCCATCCAAGATTCAATGATTCCAGAAGGAAAATCAGGCCACACAGTGTCAACAGCACCCTCCAAGGTCATCACCATCATTTCAGTCATGCCAGTGGTCAAGGAGCAGGTGTGCAGAACAGAGCTAACAGAAGACCAACACCTTGCCGTGTATATTATCTCTAACCACTCCACCTGCAAGAATGACAGCATGACTGCACCTCTGACTGCCCACGGCACAGAGGAAGTAATAACAGAAGAGCCATACCCAGGTTTTGAGACACAAGTCCAGCAAATTCTGAAAGATGCTGATGCCATACAGGAGGATGCAGACCGCCACAAACTCCGGCAAGTCCTGTACAAATACAAGGAATCATTTGCCAAGGACTCTTTAGATTGTGGCCTCACTAACCTCCATGTTGTGCGTGTCCCAACGCACCCTCAGGCCACACAGTGTCAACAGCACCCTTCAAGATCATCACCATAACCTCAGTCATGCCAGTGGTCAAGGAGCAGGTGTGTAGAACAGAGCTAACAGAAGACCAACACCTTGCCGTGTATACAGTCTCTAACCACTCCACCTGTAAGAATGACAGCATGACTGCACCTCTGACTGCCCACGGCACAGAGGAAGTAATAACAGAAGAGCCATACCCAGGTTTTGAGATACAAGTCCAGCACATTCTGAAAGATGCTGATGCCATCCAGGAGGATGCAGACCGCCACAAACTCCGCCATGTCCTGTACAAATACAAAGAATCATTTGCCAAGGACTCTTTAGATTGTGGCCTCACTAACTTCCATGTTGTGCATGTCCCAACGCACCCAAAAGCTCCACCCACTTTTGTCAAGCAATACAAGATCCCCCTTGAATCGTACGAACCCGTACAGGAGATCATCAACTCTATGCTTGAGAAGGGTGTCATTCGTCCGT